CATGATTTCCCGCAATTCCCCTTTTAATGTCTTCCCCCTTTTCTCCCCCTATGGACCCTAATTTCCCCTCGAAATGGGAATTTCCTCTCATTGTGGAAACACTGGCCACAAAGCTTCAATTGTGCAGAAATATGCTGGGAAATAAAAGAGCACGCTCGCTACTCCTAATTCGCAAAATAAATGATGCGCCCACTAAGATATATTGTGATGTGGCTTTTTAAATGGATTATTATTTAGAAAACACTGATTGGCCATATTTCAATGTGAAGTGTTTTATAAGTAATTAAAACTACTACGGCTTATCGTAGTGTTTTTTTTTAATTGCCATTATGTTATTTCCGTTCGGTGCGTGACCACGAAAAATGTAAAGTAATCGAAATGTCGGATTTTAATGACAATAAAAAGTAACTTTTACCTAACATTTAATTATGTCTAAGACTCGCGAATACCGAAGAAAATACTATGTTTTATAAGTGTAAGTATTAGTAATTTTGTTTTCTGAATTGTGTTTTAATTTAACAATACATCGTGGCAAATAAAACGTAGTTTACCTATTTAAAATCCGGTCAAAAGTTACGGTGAAGGTATACATTGTATTATGCTTGACCAATTTGAAACCATGACTTCTGAAACCTTGAAAGCAACAATCTTAAAATAAAATGCTTTTGTACGTTTGAATATAAGTTTTCTAATATGTTTTTTTATTCGTTACGATTCCATTGACTTCCACATTGTATCATCAACGTTAAGTAGATATTGAAGTTACAAGTAGCCGTTTTTAACACGGAACAACTCTTAACTGCTCCGTAAATATTTTAAAACTTTGTTGCAAACATGCTCCGGCTTTATGGCATATAGACAAAAGACACATTAAGCGGGTCCATGCATTTCTTGTGTTCATAATAGCGAAAGCCGGTGCATGACATAAAAACCGTATGACGTCACAATGAAATGTTCAAGAGGCCGGATGAATCATGTACAACTACAGTCCGACTTGCACGTAGGCTCTCATTTTGTTTCCTTGTGCCATTATACAAATCTAGGTTGCATTACGTATCTTTAAAGATGTGTTAAATCACATTTTATTGTTCGTCATCGTAATTATTGGACGACTTGCCTTTTTTTTACATTAATATTTTCAGATTGAAGGTATTTCAAACAAACAAAACGTAAACATTAATGATCGGTTAATGGGCGTTCCTATATATTTAAAACAAACATGTACTTTTGTTTCCTGTATTCACACAAAATCATTAATGAAACGGTCGGGATAAAGCATTTTTAGTTTAACTAATGGACCGTGACGACCTAGTTAGTTCAGTTTTGTAACAATCGGGAGAGTACCGTTGCAAATACTTTCTTCCGTCGATTGTGCCGCCCACAGACCGTTATACGCAATGCCTACCAAACTGTTATGTTTCATTAATTAGATACTTAATGATATACCTACAAGTCGATTTTAGCCACAAACTATGCGAAAATTTTGATGTGTCAGGCGGGTCGTGAGCTCATCGGGAAACCTCAAAAAAATCCGAGATACGACGCGGGAATCCTCAAGACTTAAACAAAAAAAAATCAAAACCACGAACAGTATATCATTAAGATACATTAGATAGAGTAGGTATTGACAATGCTCGTTTGACACGCCTACAAAAAAGAAACAAACGGGTTCATTCAATACTGTGACCTATAGGAGGAAGTTTGAATATTATGTGGCCTTGAATATATGTAAATTGCGCGATCAGGATATAAAGAGAAATTCCATGCGCAATGGCACGTGAAGGCAGCGTTGCATAATAATATAATTTTTATTAGAGTATTTATTCACACTTTTAAACACTTTCCGAGTTCTATTATTAATCTTTCAATGTAGAAACAGGTTTTTTGTTAATTCGTTGTTTGAATCGGCTTAATAAGTTATCTTGAAAGCAGGACCGCTTTGAATATATCGTCATCGCAACGTATTAAAACTTTAAAAAGTACACCGGCTGAAGTATATAATGCGATGCTACCTTCGCCTCAGTAATTTTCTTTGCAGTTATAAATGATTTAATTCCATTTAATCGCGTTGCTGTTACCGATAACGATTACGGGTCATCAAAAGAACGATTTATGACATCGATTATTCATACCGAAAGATTTGTCGATGCAATTAAAATAGTTAGTGTAATGAATAATGTAGTGATTGCCTCAAGACTGTACCTTGGAGTTGTCGTTAAAGGGCAGCAGATTCATTCCAAATTCGCTCATTAAATCACGTTATATCCTGATGATTTGTATAGCACGAAAATAAACAGGTGTTGGTCTGTGTTTTTGTTTTACTGTCAAAAAAAAAGGTTTTTAATAAACAGATACGATAGATAGATTTTTGATCTTAATATTAAGATTATAAACACTGAGAGTACGTGAAAATTTTAGCTGTTTGAAGCCGTGTGATGATTAATAAAAATCCCTAGTTTGTGTTGAAGTTAGATTCTGAATTCGAGTCGTGTATTTTTATTGAACAACTTTCATTCTTGGTACAAATCTTTTTATGACTTTCATAACCATTGTATACATGGGGTAAAATCGTTAAGCTTGTGTTTTATCACCAATGAGGAGTGAAGGGAGTGCGTAAATAGGGCTTTTAAAGTAAAATGACCTGTCAACTATCATTACGGTATCATATCATAACCTCTGCTTAGGATCGCGTTTCTGGTTTATAGAAGAATCTAAAATACGAATAAAGGTCCAACACGAAGAATTATACTATAAATTCTGCGCTTATACTATTGATTTGCCTTCACCGCATCCATAATGGGAGTTGAGTTTACTTCGCTCTAATCCAACTCAATGATCAGACAGATTCTAAGCATAAAGCAAAATTCAAGCAACTCAACATTCGCATAAGCAAGCATTGCATCTTAACCTCACAGGAGCAATATATTTTACGATAGTCCCATTCAGTTACAGAAGACTACGAATAGTCCAAGATCCCAGGGCCCCCAGATGTCACGTATTTTCTGACGAACGAAATGTGGCCGATTGCGTAGTGTTAGTATGTACTAAGAACACATGCCTACCTGCTAGCTTGCTTAGACGGCCAATTTTCAGGTATCAGGTACTCAAGGTACATAAAATCAATGCCCACTACATGTAAATTCTGAAAGCTGATTTTTACGTACATTTTAGGCAATATCCTTAAAAATAAGTCCCCAATACTCCCAGACATTTTCCGTCGGCCGAATTGCTTTGCAGACGTTTTAAAGCTCCCAAAATAATGACCTAACTTCACGTAAATTCTGAAAGCTGATTTTTATATATGTCTACCAAACAACTATTTTAAAACCTCTTACAAAAAGACAGACCGATCAAAGGGGCCAATCATCCCCTAAATTCAATTGTATACCTCTGGCCCTGGGATCTTACTCTAGAATGTTTTCTATTACGAAAAAGCAGACTGAAGTGAGGGGGGTCTGTACGACTTACAGATAGAGATCGGGATTATTTAAGTGAAAGTGTCGTTTTATTGCATGTTGCTACCTAAAATCACACGAAAAATGAAAGCTGTTTAATGGGTAGTAAACAGCATCGATGACTTGGAATTTTAATTTACCATATTTTTTTTTCTAACTAATTTACCTAATTGTCCGTTTGGCCCACATTATTATGTGCCCTAATAGATTTTACGATAACAATGGCCCCGTTCGAATTTTATCTTTTTCATGTGATGCGTTTTATTTGACTGTGGTGAATCAGTGATAAATGATGCTATTAAGAGTTTAATAAATATGAAAAACGATACCGGGCTATGCGTTTTTAGCTTCACATTTTCACGTCAGAGGATTGCTTGAACGATTTCAGGATTACCCAGTACAGCTCAATTCGGTTTTGTTCCTACTCGTAGTAACGAAATTATGGCTTACGAATGCTCATGATATGCCACGTTAATCAGTCATGTATAAACCTCATCTAGATCAGAATGCATGCTGCATTAGAATCGATTTATATGTTACATTTTTTTGTTGAAACTAGGCCACAGTACAATTTAAGTTAGGTCGTGTTCGTTTATATTTCATCAGCGTGCTTGAATACTGTCAGGTCGCGGTGCATTTGTTTCTTATATGTGTTTAGTCGGAAAATTGTAAAATCAATACCGGTATACTGTGTTGCAGGATCGATTGAAGTAATTTATTTTCAAACATAGGGCACTTAGCATTGAATAATTAATATATTCATTATACTTTGTGTATAATTTCGATACATCAATAACCTGACGTTTAAAACATTACAACAAAGTGTAATCGAGTATAGATGAAGTAATAAGAGAAGACGTGCTCCAATTACACCTACCTACACTACAAACTTACGAAGATAATGTGATGCATTATTTCTGAGCTGATTAGATTCATAGCGGAGTGTATTTTAAATTAATTGTTTTAAACGCGCGTAATTCGTTTCCAAATGATTCTTGTCCACCTGATGGTTGTCTGGAAGAGATCGCTCTTAGCGATAAGACCGCCAATTGTACTTTTTTGTTTTTAATGTATCGCACTGTTTATTTGTTTTTTGGTGTACAATAAAGAATACTCTCTCTCTCTCTCTCTCTCTAAACAAAATAGCAAGCTATTTGTTTACAACATAAAAATTTTTCATTACTATTATGTACATATAACACGACCTGAATTAAGAACCTGTATTTATTTATGACCATTTAAGTACATAATATGGCTACCACTCAAAGTGCTAGAAAGAAGAAAACGGTTGAATATTATTAATGCAAAATATGAGGGCAGAACATAATGGTGTGATTATTTGTTGATAAAATCCATCAAGATAGGTGAGACGGGAGTGTAATCATTGTCATAAAATTGGAACGGTCGTTCAGTTTTCGTTGAAATGTTGGTTTTAAGGCAGATAAGAATGAGAGTAAGGGGGTAAGTTTAAGATCGGTTATCAGTTAAGCGACGTCGGCGCATAAAGGCTGCCCCACCAGCGACTCATCTACCCGCCATCACTCACCAGTACCAGTCAAAGCGCCGCGCGCGTCGCACGCATGAGCACGAGTATGTGCAAATCGCAGTAGTGAAAGTCTCGCGCGCAGGTTCCGCTACGATTTCGTTTGTCGACGTCTTCGTCTAGTTATTCGGTTTGTTCGTTGCGCCAGTGCAACAGCGAAAGGAGGTCGCCCGCCTGTCCGCAACTCGTAAGAACACCGTCGTTCGTGCTATTCCAAATTTTACATCGATCCCTACATTACGAGAGTGTTACGTAAAATATATAATAGTTATGTGGCTTTTTTTCCCGAATGTGGCACGTTTTTTTATAAAACATTTACATACACATCAAAAATCGTGTCGAATGTTAACGGATTTTGAAATATTTGTGATTTGTTAAAAAATAAATAGATACCGTCACAATTACGGTACCTACGCAAATCTAACGATGCTAAACGAAACGAAAAGTTTTCTCTTTGTTTTCACGTTATAAATAGCCAGACTTTTGTTTTGGCAAGTGCTACGATCGCCTACGAAGTTTGTAGACACCACAGAATTTAGTCGAAACAGATAGTTGCGGTAACTCCGCTGCGGCAGTGAGTTTGTTCGTCTAGCAACTAAGTTAGCAGCTGGTTGCGCCTTGGTTTACTAACGTTCAAGTTACGGCCGTTACCATGGCAAAGTGAAAACGAGTGTTCGCCCATGACCCTACATTTCGTCAACTAACCACATAGCACACTTTCTCATGTGTCTGCGAATTCTTTGATAAATTTCGATGCGTATTAAAATCATTGAACACTAATATCCCAAAGTCAAATGAGATATCTCGCACGATAGATGAAAAAAATGGGCTTAATGAACGATACATACAAAAGAACAAACATAGCGGGAAATCCGTCTAGGCTACTATTTAAAATAGCAATTTCCTTACTAAACATGCATGCATTATTTTTCAATAAACCGTATATACAATACGCACAATATAAAATTTAACGTGATTCAGACATGATTATTTGAATCATAAGTGCAATGATTCAATCGAACTGTTTATCTTATCATTCGATATAGACAATAACGTATATATTTAGTATAGTGTGTGTAATTAATTACATTTGCGCACCTGAAGGTTAGATTCTGATTTACTAAACGTTGGTGGCAGCATATTGTGCAAGTACGGCAATGTGCTTTGAAATCGTACACGACCCACATTTTTCTAGCAATAGACGTAACTCGAGTATTGTGTTGTGCGCTGCACTGTTCCTACTTGAATTCGCTGACCAAGTGTAAAGTGATCATCGGTCGCAATGATAACGATGTTTCTCACAGTCCTGCAGTTACATGTAAATGTGGCTTCTTTGCAGTTTGCTTGAACAGTTTTTGTATTCTTAGTAATAATTATTTTTTTAACGGGCTCAATTCTTGGTTTCTTGCTGGTGATTGAAATCTATATATTAATACGTGAGGCAAAAACTTTGTACCCCTTTTTACGAAGATTGCGCGGATGGAGGAGTTTGAAATTTTCCACACTTATAGAGAATATAGAGAAGGAGTGCAGATTGCTAATATTTTTAACAAAATATACATTAAAAATACATTAAATCAATGAAGAAAGCTTTACACACATTACGATGTATTTGACACAACACATAGACTCTTTGTTTATTGTCAAACTTTTATTATTGCTTATAGTCTGTGGTCAAATTGAGAATAGGTTAATATTGTTTATATTTATTAATATTCGTCTATAGTGTAGTCTTGGCGAAATCTGTGACCTATAGAAGTATATTAGTCCTTGACAATAAAACCATAATAATATCCAAACTTATAATTTCAATTAATTATAGTCGAATTTCGACTACTCCGGGACCACTAGTAATAATAAAAAAACAAGAAATCGTGATGATTCGTTTCTCGTTAACCAATTCTCGAATAACGTTAAAATAATATTCGTAAGTTCTTAGGATGTGCCAACGATTGGCACACCGCTCGTGTCTTGATGACTTCAATAAATCCTACTTTATTTCTGTCAATGGGTCGTACACTTGTTTTTAGTTTCTTTCATTGAGAACCAGGCCACTGCGATTAGTTATAACGACGAGTGGAAATTATGATTTTATTATCAATGTGGAGTTTTTCCGTTCATTAATTTATTTTCAACATCTGTTATAAATTTCATCTTTAACGGCTCTCGTCGCAATGATACTTGTTCACGCTTTAATTGATATTTATCCTTCTTAGATATATTTAGAAAGCTACCGAGCTTGCCAAAATGTTTAACTCATACTGTTGTTGTTCCTTTAGTTTATTTGGATACAAAAGGAAACATTTTAATTCCCCTTTACCAAAACAGACCAGTAACGAAGACTACGCCAAATAGTGGAGCTCATTCGGACATAGACCATAACCCAATCCCAAAAATACAGACTAAAAGCATAGAAGTCGTCGTGGCCTAAAGGATAAGACGTCCGGTGCATTCGTGTCTAGCGATGCACCTGTGTTCGAATCCCGCTGGCAAGTACCAATTTTCCTAATGAAATACGTACTTAGCAAATATTCTCGATTGACTTCCACGGTGAAGGAATAATATGGTGTGATAAAAATTAAACTCGCAAAATTATAATTTGGCGTAATTACGTAATTACTGGTGGTAGGACTTCTGGTGAGTCCGCACGGGTAGATACCACCACCTTCTCTATTTCTGCCGTGAAGCAGTAATGCGTTTCGGTTTGAAGGGTGGGGCAGCCATTGTAACTATACTGAGACCTTAGAACTCATATCTCAAGGTGACCATGGTGACCGTGTCACTTAACACAGGTGGACCGTGAGCTCATTCACACAAAAAAAAAATTTGAAAAAACATCGACTCATCATAACAACGTTACATATTATAGTAGATTAACGAAAATAATGGTGTTAACGAGCCTTATTAACATCAATTAACCCCTACAGCATTAATTATTTTATACGCGTAGGTTTGAACCATGTTGGTATGAAATACTCGTAATAGTTGGCGCTTCTGTATGAAATGTAACACTGCCACATTGCATTTTAGATCAATTTGACAATTTCAATACTAATTTTAATTCCGCGCCAATACACTAGAACACACACTTTATTGTTAGATTACGTGACGTTGATATACACACAGCAATTATTCTTCATTGGTTGTAATTGGTTTTGATTCATGTCATTCTCAGATCGTGTTAAATAGTGTCCGTTTTCTTGCAACTATATCTGCGTAGGTCTTTTTTTATCTATTCGTAAAGTTCTTTTTGTTCAACTTTACATGCATTTTGCTAGTACCGCACCGATATTATTACGTAAATTTGATTTATGCGACCATATTACTTATCGTTAACGACTTTTGATTATAAAGCTTTTTTTTTATTGCTTAGATGGGTGGACGAGCTCACAGCCCGCCTGGTGTTAAGTGGTTACTGGAGCCCATAGACATCTACAACGTAAATGCGCCACCTACCTTGAGATATAAGTTCTAAGATCTCAGTATGGTAACAACGGCTGCCCCACCCTTCAAACCGAAACGCATTACTACTTCACGGCAGAAATAGGCAGGGTGGTAGTACCTACCCGCGCGGACTCTCAAGAGGTCCTACCACCAGTAAAAAGAACACCACGACCATTAAAAAACTGGTATGTTCTTTGTTTATGTGTTTGTTTGTTTCGGCGTTAAATTAATCTGTATTCAATGCGTCTCCGCAATAGTTGCTCATTAACTATGCGACGATTGTTGTATCTTATTAACCGTCATTGTTGTTCGCGTCGTTGTATACCTTGATACGATGGTGATGATGATCTCACATCTTTTGTTCGGCGTTTTGTCAATCATTTACATTGACGAGATCTTTCAGTGACACGTTTTTCAATGCGTCAGAAGGATATGTAAACCCTTTCGTACTTATACGGAACTAGCGACCCGCCCTCGCTTCGCTTCGGAAACATTAAAACACACATGAAACCAAAAAAATATATAAAAAAAAAATAAAAAAAAAGAAAGTAGCCTATGTTCATCAGGGACAATGTCGGCTTCTAATGGAAAAAGAATTTTTCAAATCGGTCCAGTAGTTTCGGAGCCTATTCGAAACAAACAAACAAACAAATCTTTCCTCTTTATAATATTAGTATAGAAATCGAATTGTAGATTGCCGTTTCCATAATAATTGAAATTGAATCTCCTCGATGCCAATAGACAGTGGTCGTTTGAAGAACATTTAAATATTTTAAGTAAACTTTGAAGTTTCGTCACGCATTGTCGTGTTTTATACATTAGCACCTTTTGCTGAAATGCAAACCCAATATTGTTTTGTTATATAAAAGTATTCTTAAATCTGGCAAGCACACAATAATTTTATGTTATCTCCGTTGCGAAAGCTTGAGTATTATTGTTTTTAAAATACTTTCAGGCGTTAAGTAGCAAAAAATTAATATCAATATAAGGTTGTATTTAAAAGGCTACGATATACAAGACACCTACGCAAATGATTACCTATACGATATAATTGCGCAGTGCTTAATGGCTAAAATTTCTGTCGAATCACGGATGCACCACTAACTATATTCATTTTCGAGCAAAGAGTGACCTCATGATAAATACATGTCCCACAGACACGACTAAAGAATTGAGCCGCTTAGACCGTTGGCATTAGATCAATACCTACCGTAAAATATCCCAAACGACACGACGAAAATTCATTTCCAAAATCTGTCATGCCTGGTTTACCTATTAACATTGACAGACTGTTTTCTTGAAGGCCTATAACAAACACCCGACAGACAGGATATATTCATACCCACCTTGAGAATTAGCCGGTACGCCTTGCTCTTATATCATTAATAAATCGAAATGCTACTCAAATGTATTCAAATGACTTATGAGTAATTGAAATGCTGAGAAAGCATTAATTCACGAGTAGTCGGACACATTCGAGAGGCGATTACTGCGTGCTTTATCTCTCTCCGAACTTGTTACTGCGTACCGCATAGTAATCTAGACATTTCCCATTATGTCCGAGGGTTACGGTTCCATACGTTACATTCATGGTTTTTTGTTAGCCTCCCCGAATTGAATGCGTAGTCTACGCTGGAGAACTTACACTTTACGACCACCTTACTCTGTATAAAAGTAGTACTCTAGTACGGTGAGAGCAATAAAACGAAGTTTTTTCTACAAGTTCGCTATTAGGTACTTCAAAAGAAATAATTACGGCATTTAACATCAAAAGCTTTTACGAATTACGACAAGGGGAAACGGCATGGGTTTATTACATGTTTTTCCGTTTTAACTCAGTTTTAGTAAACAAATTTTTGCAGGCGCGAGTAAGAACCAGCAACGACTGGCCATCTGTAAATAGGACCCGACTTTGGTGCTCGAAAACATTTCAAAATTTATCTTTGCTATTCAATCTTACTATACTATAAAGGGATTGCTGGATACAGACGAGTGGCCTATGACTATAAATTCTCAATACAATTTAATTAACTCGGTTGAACAAAATCAATTGATCTTGAATAAAATCAAGGTGACACGCGATAAGAAAATAAATATGTTTTTTATTCATAAAAGCTTACATGCATATGTTAGGAGTGTTAACGTTTATACGTTTAAGGATACAGTGAGTACTCGCCTACATGACCTAGATAATTTGTTGCGAAATTTGTTTTCTACATATAACCTGTTTAGATTATTATACTAACTGCAGGGTTCTGATTATTACATAAATTTTATAATTTGTTAAAAGAAATATTGCCTTAGCAGACTAACGAGCATGTGGATAGTTGACGATTTCGTAGAACGATATATCACAATAATGAAATGATAGTGAAATTTCAAAACTGTGACGTCAGTGATTGCAGCTATTTCATCCCGTTCCCGAAGGAAACATGAGACGAACACTAATCTTTAGCGTTAGATAATGCTTAAATAAATTAAAGGAAATTAACTGTTTGTATGATTACTTCGTGAATTCGTTTTAACCTTTACGTTTGCGTGGTTCGTGGTAATCAAAAGTTAAAAGTGTAATAAATGAAGATACTGTTGGGAATTTATTTTTAAACGGCTTAAATTATCTTCAAGGGCGCGTTTAAGCCCCGTGCTCATTTAAAGGGTACGACGGGGTAACTGTTGTTGTATACAAAAACAAATAAACTGAAAAATTATTTATGCTCCATAAATTACACAGTTAATGCATTGTGAAACTACAAAAAACATAATTCAACAAGACGCAAATCATCTTGGTTTTCGTCCAAGTTTACCAATAAAATTCAAGATATGGTTGGCTCAGCGATCAAAATGATAATGAAAAGTATACGTAGGAATCGAACAGTTGATTTATTTATACCGGAGTGACTTTTCCCACTGCGGATATGTTGCTAGTAAACACAGACGATGCAGTTACGAAAGCTGCACTTGTCTACTTAAATGGGATAGCGCCGACTCGTTTTGATGTCGATACTCGTTTGTAAAATACATGAGATATCTATTTTCATGGACAGACTTTCGCTATGTCCTCATCAAAGATTATAAGTATTTTTTTTTTACGTTAGTTGTTTTCGGTAACAACAAAATTAAAAACTAATAATAATTCTGTTATCATGCATTCGTAAATTAAATTTAGTATGTATTTAATATTATACTTATATAAAAACTGCCACATTTTAACTGTATACATTTTTCGTGCACACATTCATGGAAAACGGGATCGTTATAAAATTGGGAATATTTATATATATTCTTTTAGTTTTGGACGTTTTTTGTTTTATTACAACGAACTACACTTTCATTTGCAAATCATATTTTAGACAGTTTTAATATGAAGGAGCCGTAATAAATATGCAAACTCCGTAAAGCGAGGAGAGTGATAAAACTATAGTTGCTGTGTTTGTGTGTGACGATAACGATGAGTGGTGAACCGACACTGACGGAGTCTCCGGTGCCGGTGGCTCTGGCCCGTCTGCAGGGTCGGCCTGGGCGATACCAGCGCGGCTTGCGCAACCATCGTCCCAGCCTTCAACTCGCCAGCTTACAGGAAGCCATAGATGAAAGTCCTCGACGATTTAGTGACGAAACGTTTATACCTGACACAGACGATGATGAAGCGTACAACGATGGTCCGATTGAGGAGACTCCGACTCGACCTGTCGTTAATGGACGCAGATCTTCGGACGCTACTTTTGCCGAAAGATACAGACAATTATCCGACTTTGACGAGCCGCCGCCCGAGGTACCGCGCAGGGCTTCCCTCGCCGTGCCTGTCGCCAACGAGAGATACAGTCACGCCGATAAGGGGCGCCGGCGCTCGTGGGCCGCACGTTTGCAACTCGAACGTAAGAAAAGGCGAAAATCTGGAGGAAACGACACTGACGACGAGAGCGAAACACCGACATACGTTCGTCAAAAACGACTATCGTGGTGGAACGTGTTTGTACCCGATAACATGCTGAAGAACAGGTAAATTACATTTTTAGAGATTGCTATAAAAAAATCAGTCAAGTCACTTATGTAGTAGTATTTTGTCTAAGTTTGTCTGTGTGGCCAGATATTAACAAGTAGGGCAAAAAATCATTTGTTATTGTTCTAGATATAGGTTAATCAAATTAGTTTTATTTACTCGTACTTCTCATCATCATTGGGTATTAAAATAATAATTGCTTAATGCTGAGATAACTTTGAAAAAAAAAGCATGTTCTTTTGAACTGATACAGATTAGATATATAGTGTTATAATCTAAACACAAAGTTACTTGTCGTGGATCTGTGATCCATTAACGTTCAAGACAAAACCGTTTAACCTATGAATATTTAAATTTCGACCAAGACTTTACGTAAGTAAGAGGGGAACTAATAAATTTACCTATGCTATATTACAGCTCTAAGGTAATATGAATCCTTATAGTCTTCGCTCACAGTTCCTTAAAACTTGATAGAGATATTCGTTGATGAAAATTAGGGAAAAAATGTGTCAATATCATCCCGAAGCAACGGACAATAAGTTGGAAAAGATTTAATAGAAAAAATATTCCACTGTCGAATGAGTAACATATCATAAATAATATGAATGCTTCTAAACAAATAGCTGTATCCGTGCTTCAAAGAACGCCAAATTGATTCTTTAGAAAGGAATAAGCTAAGTAAGTAACGATAGATAGCGGTTATACTATTTCCTGAATTGCATTGTAGCTTTGTAAGGTAGCTCAATATACTTGTTCTATTAATTTATTCTCGCACAGTTGATATTTTCGATCTGCACCCAAGGCATTCGAAGTCATAAGCGATAACCAGTACATACCTAGATTAAAAACGGTGAAGATAATTAAATTTGTTGACATTGAAATATTCCGTGGTCTGTTAAAGTAACGTTTGTATGGGTAACCAGATAGGTACGTGACAAATTTACGACGCGTGCTCTTAATATATTAGTACATGAGCAAACTACATCTATATCTAGATGTGGGTACGTGAAGACAACTCTTATCTCCGGGAACTTTTCTTGATATTATAATATAATTATAAATCACAAATATTTGTTGTGTCTCTTACAGAGTTCTTCAAAGATGTTTTTAACAGAAATGTTTATGTAGATGTTACGTAAAATTTTCATCTGAAAACAAATGGAATCGGCGGAAGTAAAATAATAAAAGAAATTAAATATGAATGCTTTAGTTTTCTATATGTTGAGGATGTTCAATATTTTTTTCCTACCTAAACTGATGGTCTAGAGAGATCATGTCAGCGTCACCGGGCTAGTCTGTTCAATGAAAACGATTATCGGATGGAACTATTCTTCAATAAGTTCTATAAGAGACCTTCCTCGATATGCATGTATTAGCGGCTATTAGGGAGTTGATAATGGAAAAAAATATCACTATTAAGCCTTCCGTAAAATATAATATAATAATTTACTTCGCATACATTCACAGTATACTAAATAATTACCTACAATCATGACACCGCGCGTGATAGTTTATCTCTTAATGCGATTAGTTAACAACATTAACAGCACTTCAAAGGATTCCTCATGTCCTGAATGGAGAATACTTCCTAGTTGTTGTTGATAAACTAGATGCCAAAAAATAATGTAAGTAAACAGATTGTAACCAAATAATTTTGTCTGAAATAAATAGTTGCTTATTTAAATTGAATTCGTCTAGGGTTGTGATTCAATTGAATAATTTAATACTTTACGAATTCGTTTATCAAATTAACATTTTTGATTTTTCAAATTTCGTAACCGCTTCACGGCTTACTAGCCTTCGATAATTTAAAATCTTGTGATTATAACCTTTTAATGAATGTAATACGTATTGATTTCAATTTGAATTGAATCCATCCGTGCGTCAGAAGTTGAAAAATAATCCCTTCCCTCTAAAATTTCGATTTGCGCCGTTTAATTTTAGAAAGATCATTTATTATTTTCGGGGACTTTTTGTAATTAGTATTTGTCAGTGTTATTTGTTATTACAAACCGTTAACGTTCGTCTCGTCTATGGAATCTTACGCTGCTCTTGGCTCGGAACCCTTTGGGTTTTGAAGCGGAATATTTAAGTAGAAATATCTATACTATATTATTATTATACTCGTATAATATTATAAAGCTGAAGAGTTTGTTTGTTTGAACACGCTAATCTCAAGAACTACTGATCCGATTTGAAAAATTATTTTAGTGTTAGATAGCCCATTTATTGAGGAAGACTATAGGCTATATAACATCACGGTAAGACCAATACAAGTGGAGCACCAATTAGGAATGTTTCAAAATAGGGGTTTAAATAGCTCCTTAACATTCTATAATTCAAAAATATTATCACTTTCTACGTAAATGAAGTGGTAGGTAAAATGTAGCGTTATGCTATAGTAACTATTCCACGCGGACGGAGTCGCGAGCAAAAGCTAGTATAAGAATAATAAGAATAAACTACAAATATTTCGAATGAAACCGCGACCTTACAGATTCGTTTCCTACAGAAAAGCTTTTCACGCTAAACATCATTAATCTAGTGTGATAAACGGCAGCTGGATCGTTTTTTTTTTTTTCTATTTGCAATGATATAAGAATAACGAACGATATTTTCGCCGAGTGCTGACATCTCGCTTGTTGTTTGCCCATACAGTCCTTCCATTAGCGTTCATATATTTTGTACACGATTTCCTTAGATCATCTCCAGCAATACGTGAGACACAGTTTAATATGTTATTTATCCGTGTTAGTACTGTAAAAATCTAATCTGAAAACAAATTATGTTTTCAGTTTTTTTTTATTGCTTAGATCGTTGGACGAGCTCACAGTCGACCTGGTGTTAAGTGGTTACTGGAGCCCATAGACATCTACAACGTAAATGCGCCACCCACCTTGAGATATCAGTTCTAAGGTCTCAAGTATAGTTACAACGGCTGCCCCACCCTTCAAACCGAAACGCATTACTGCTTCACGGCAGAAATAGGCAGGATGGTGGTACCTACCCGTGCGGAGTCACAAGAGGTCCTACCACCAGTAAAGATTAGTGTTATAATTTTATTAAACCCTAAAGTTCATTCGTGAATGTCTTTGGAAACTTGTTAATAACAATAAAGTTTACTTTTCGAAAGTTTCGCGATCCAATGCGATGCCTTCAAATGGCTTCCGTGTTTTTGCCGCAATAAAGTTCAAAACAATTCTCAAACAATATGAAAAACTATACGATGCGTAAAATATTATTCGGTGACATGCTCAAGTATTCTCATATTGCCTTAGATACAGACATGTATATAGGGAAAGAAACCGCTTTCACGCGTATTGGTTCTACATATTGACAAAATAATTGAATTTGTATGTACATCGCATTCGCCCGAACGCGTTACGTTTTTGTGTTTCGCTTTCGTTTTCTCGCCTGTATTCCGAACGAATCTAACCCACGGAAACGGAAGCAATATACCTATGGATTAGTTCATTATTACGCCGAACGAATAAAATTATTTTTCGTATAAAATTTGCATCCGTAATGCGCGCCGTCCTCAAGAGTCTGCCCACACACCGAAATACATAATAAAGTGTGTGTTCCGCAAATATGACAAGAACCAAAACAGACATGTAATCTGCTGGTTCAGCGTAGGTTTTTATTTACGAACATTAATTGTAATGTTCCTGTGTCATAAACACAAAAACAAACTAACAAGTAAACAATTATTAACCTAATGCTTATTTTTAAAAGTTCGTACGTTCCTTTTTTTTTCCTACGCATGCTGATAGCCTTGAGAGGCTATTTCAGCTTCACCCTAACGTGTAGGTGAGCTCACGGGGTTCAAACCGGAGTGTTGCTAATACTGGCCCTAGCAAGAGCAGTGTTTCGCAGAATCTACCACTGGATCGGAAACGCGAACCACTGAGAAGATCCGGCGAGAAACTCAGTGGGCTGCGTCTATGGGTTCATTCGCTCGTCGAGCCCTTCGCAAGCGACGGGTTCGACGAGGACGATGACCGGTGCTTGTGGTACCTAAAAGCACCGTTAATGGATCGGGAGGATTCATAATGACGTGTTTTGGGCGACATCGACTGTTCACCATTCGGTCTACAGGATCGGGTATGAACGTTCCTAATACTCAGATTTTCAAGCGTTTAAATGGAATTCCAAAGATTATAAACCGGTATACTGTTATTAGAATGTTATGCTACGTCACAGTACATGAAGCGGTTCCATCATTACAACATAACGTGGCCTCCGTTGCTTTCCGCAATCGTACGTTGATCTTATCATTGCCATAAAACCCTTTTACTTTATTTATAACAGAAATGACAAAAAATATCTTCAATTTAAATGCTCCGAATGTTTTTATCCCCTGTTTTTTTTTATTGCTTAGATGGGTGGACGAGCTCACAGCACACCTGGTGTTAAGTGGTTACTGAAGCCCATAGAAATCTACAACGTAAATGCGCCACCCACGTTGAGATATAAGTTCTAAGGTTTCGGTATAGTTACAACGGCTACCCCACCCTTCAGACCGAAACGCATTACTGCTTCACGGCAGAAATAGGCGGAGTGGTGGTACCGACCCGTGCGGACTGACATTAGGTCCTACCACCAGTAATTACGCAAATTATAATTTTGCTGGTTTGAATTTTATTACACGATTTTATTCCTTCACCGTGGAAATCAATCGTGAAAATTTGTTTCATTAGCAAAATTGGTACCCGCCTGCGGGTTTCGAACACCGTTGCATTGCTAGACACGAATGCACCGAACGTCTTATCCTTTAGGCCACGACGATTTTTCATATCCGCGTATCCCGAATATTGCTATATGGAATACTTTTTGACACTTTACTGTGCAGTTCCTTAAATGCTATATTATCCAATAAGGTATTACACGAAATGTTTTATAATGACGCAGTAGTGTGACGTTTAAAATATAATTTTTTTTAAACATTTTTTTGTAAATTAATACAATAATTTTTATCAAAGAAAAAGAATGAACCGTT